CAGACTTGATGTGTATTGGAAACTTATACTCCTCTCTCCAGGGGGTCCGTTCTGGGACAGCATTTAAGGATCTATCAGTTGCAGGTAAATCAGTGGTTTGTCTGCCGAGCCGTTTGGCCTGGTGGATAAAACTACTTCTCTACTTCCCTGATCAACTTGTGTCGCCCCATCTACGTGGCCAACCCTTTCATGTATTTATCTCCTTAAATAATACAGATACACAAAATTGCATTGCGCAGTTTATTGTCAAGCATATTTCCCAGTAGCTCGTCAGGTGCATTATTACAGAGTAACATCCACTGTGATGAAGCACTCAAATTGACTTATTTCTCTGAAATGCAAATGGCGTCTCTCTCTCTCTCTCTCTCTCTCTCTCTCTCTCTCTCTCTCTCTCTCTCTCTCTTTCTATCTATTTATCTATCTATCTATCTCTATCTCTCTCTATATATTTCTCTCTCTCTCTCCCTTCACTCAATCCCATGTTAATCACGTGACTTTCCACGATAGCTTGACGTTTATAACGAGCTCTTTTTGTCTACATGAAAAAATTGAGAGAAAACAAAGATTCGGGGGATGAAATGTGTCAGGGGATCGTTCATGTTTATTATTAAATTGTTGGCTAATCCCAGCATTTGCTCGTTGTGTATGTGGTAAATAATACGGAAGACATCTTTCTTTCTTGTCAATTGCATATCCGGAATCAAGCAAATGGCGTCTATAGAATAGATGGTTTCTCTCGTCTTGGTTGGTTTTGAAACACATGCAGAATCAGATATAAATGGGAACCATTTGGGTACATGTTCTACCACTTTGTTTTAAAGTTGTCACTTTGCTGGACCTATATAAGTTAACTGGCACTTTCCTGTGAATTATCCCTTCACCTCCCCAAACAATATTGGCATAATAATGACTATTAGGTACATTCAAGTTTATCTTTTTCAGTACCAAGCTGGTGTCAATATAAACTGTCTTTATTCGAAGATGCTTTAAAAGAAATATTTACTGCTTAAAATTAAAGCCTGTAAAATGTGATAGAAATTACAGTAACCACAGAAGTCTGTTGGCTGGTCTACCCAACGCACCAGAGTAAGTACATAATAAAGCAGGGCTGTGACACACACTATTGACTTGCAACCTGTCAATATTGTTAAAAAAGGATGTAGAGAATGGTAATTAAGTGACGTCTCGCCGCCGGCGAATACGGCGACGTCATAAAAAAGCTTAAAACGAAAACGTCCCTGTTTTGCTATGCGCCAGAAAGAAGCAGCGTGATGTTACCTTATTTTTTTTTTAAATCAGGGAAGGTTTAAATTAATGGGCCTTCCCCGGCGAATAAAGGTCATGTATGAGCACACATGTTCTAGTCAAAAAATGAGTGTATGGATGGGGAGGGGAAGGCTAATGTGCTTGAGCCCTTCACCCCCCCCCCCCCCCTCCTAGTCTCCCTCCAGGAGAGGAGAAGGTTGAGGGCCTCTGCTGACCCAATAATCTTGTAAGAATGCTAACACGTGCTTCCTTCAGCTAAACACGAAAATTATCTTTTATAGTACTGTATATGTTTATACAGGTCATAATAATTATAATATAATATAAGGGATTTTTTTTTCCTTTTTGCCATTCTTATTATCTGTATGATTGCTATTATTATTATTATTATTATTATTATTATTATTGAGGCGCCGTCGTGGTCTAGCAGCTAAACGCTCGCCTGTGGATCGGAAGGTCGTGGATTCGGGTCTTGATGGAAGCCAGAAGTTTTTCAAAAACGACCTTGTCTTCCTGGTCGACCCAGCCTTGAGTTGGTACCAGGTACAGTTCTGTGAAGTTAAGGGGGCCGGCGTGATGCTGACCACATCACTCACCAGGTGCCGTTTGTTTTATAAAATATAGGTCTAGCCCTATATACCCAACACGCTCCAAGGCGTGGAAAAGGGTATTATTATTATTATTATTAATAATATTATTATTGTTATTATTATTATTATTATTATTATTATTATTATTATTATTATTATTCCGAACAGCAAATAGATCTAATTTGTAAAAAAAAAAAAAAAAAAAAATAAAAAAAAAAAATCCTGAATTAGTATGAAATATTTAAATAGATACTTCAAACTATAAGATCCAGACATGGAAAAATGGGCCTATAAGTTTCCTTGCTAAATTATTAGGGGCCGCGCCAAAAACTGGATAAAGCAAAACCAGGTAAGACAAGTAAATCGTGCAAATAATTACAATATTAGGGAAATATATAAAACCGAAAAAATACAAACAAAACTTGAACGTTGCGGCTATGGAGCCTTCTTCGGCGGATACATAGATTAGACAACACTACACAAATACACAATGTCACTTATCTTCGTATCTCGTGGCAGCCAGGTCGATGTCAAGCCAATAGTCTAGCGGGGCAATTGGGGCCGGAAAAAAATATCCCGGGATATTCCAGGGGACGTCACTCTACAATAAGATGAAATCGTATAGGCAGTTCAACTCCCCAGGTTTTAGATGAAGCTAAGTTAGCAGTTTAGTCCACTGAGCACCAGATTCCCCAAAGTGTATATAACGCGATTTTTAAGAGACTTGCGAACTCTGTCGCTGGAGTGGCTAGATTTAAGGGCTGTCACCCCCATGTTGTGGATCGCTTGAAATAAACATAACAAACTCACAGTGATTTGCTGGAAAGTGAACAATTAACTCCAAACACATACTGTAACCTAATATTGAACAGATTCCACAGAGAGTAGCAGCAGTGGTGGCGGCGAGCACAGATACAACAAAGTGGAGCTGACACACCAAGCAGAGGAAAACGAGTACGAGAAACTGCTTGTGACTGAGGTAAGAATTATTTACTTGTTCTTAAAAACGAATGCTAATAATTGTGATTACAAAGGAAAATTGAACCTCTGAAATACATTTTTTTTAAAAAATAGGGCAGTACTTAAAAAAAAAATTATTTTTATGTCGATACGTTAAAGTACAATGGTACCCTGATAACATCAGATTGAATATGTCTTCAAGAAGTTCAATGTAGAACAACTCATGCAAAAGCAACATTTTACAGAATTAAGAATATTTTATACAATATTTCTTTGTCAGTCGAAACTAGAAAGAAAATTGTTAAAAGCTAAATAAATCATATCCTGGTATACGGATGTGAATCAAGGACAGTCGGTGGATTAGTAAAAAATTATTTGGAAGCTGTGGAGAAGTGCTTTTTATAGATAAATGGTGAGAATACCCTGGACGGATAAAAAAAGTAAAAAAGATGTCTTGAAAAAAAGGAAAAATGACAAAAACTGGCTCACTAAAAGAATTGGTTGGTGCACATCAAAAGGAGTCTTTATTCTTTGGTCGTGGGAAGAAGAAAACTAGATTTCCTCGTGACAGTAGGAAAGCTAAAGGGTAAAAGAGGCAGATGGAGACTGGGAGAGCAGATGCTGGAGAGTCTGACATAACTGCATGGAGGATAATTTGTGTCAGAGCTGACTGAAAATAGACAAGACAGAAGGTTGGTGACAGACATTATTGCTACACGGCATGGAATTATCCATATCCCTTCAAATGATATCTGCTTCTTCTTCTTCTTCTTCTTCGCGTTCACCAGCTGTACACTCTGGCGGAAAGTTCTGTTTGTTCGTCCACCACTGGACTGCAGTCCTGCTCCAGAACCTGAGTGTTGCGTGTGCTTCAGTTTTACAGATCTGATTCACTTGAATGCAGACTGTTGGTTTCTTGCCTCTCAGACGGACGCACTCCGACTTCAAAGGAAGCTCCCAGTTAGTCGACTCCTACAACATGCTTTTGGGTATTCAGTGGGTCTATTCTTGTCTTCCCCACAATGGGGCCCCGGAACCCTCATATATATCTGCTTCTAAGAACAATCCTTACAAACCAACAAATCCATTGTTTTTTCGTTATCTCAGTCGTCATCATCTTCGTTTTTGTCGTTGTTATTATTATTGTCCTTATCATCCACACACGGATTTGACACCTTCACCAAAGAGTTTCTGTTTAGATATGTATATTTTGGGTAAAAAATGGACGCTAGGCATGGTCACAGTTTTCAGTCGTAAACATTTTTTTTTTTTTTTTGCTTCTGCCAGACGGTGGCCGTTGCATTTTTGATTAATTTTTAGACTGAAAGGATATAGTTTTGTCGCCCAGCTACTGAGTTGAGTGCATGGCGCGACCCTTTGAGTTGAGATTTTATTTGGAATTATTTTCGACTGTGACCAGCGTGGTGTAGTAAATTGTAGATTCAGAAAATGGCGCGTGGCCAGTCGTCGCAATATTGATGGTACCCTTATATGATCAAAATTAATAACGTGTGCAACTGTTGATCTGCTGGTAACTTCTGCTACCATCAATGATGAACTGTATTTCTAATGTCAGACTGTTTGTGTTAGCACTTCTGATGGCTACCGTATGCTTTTAATATGTGTGAATGCTAGTGCATATGCTGAGACAGCAGTCTGTCAATCTTTTTACAAGGACTGTGACGAACATTCTGCGTGTTTTCTGTTGGCACAGGAGCGTGGCAACTATGGGGTGACCCGTTTGCTATGAAGCTGAAACTAAGATTACCAAGAATACCAAGAATATCATCAAATTAATTATCATATCATCTTCTTTATGTTAGTTGTCGCTGTCATCATCGTCTTCGCATCACTGTAATCCTATTTATCTTTTTTTGTTTTACTGTTGTAACCCTTTGTTTCTGTTGTCCTATTCTTTTAAAAGACTTGCTTGTTTCTCTCTCTCTCTCTCTCTCTCTCTCTCTCTCTCTCTCTCTCTCTCTCTCTCTCTCTTTCTCTCTCTCTCTCTAACCGTTGTCCATTACACAATTCAGTTTTATTATATTATCAAAACCATAAGGCGAAATGTAATATTTTACACAGGTCATAAAATGAATTATAATATGAAAACATTTGACAAATATAATATTGGATTTCACATGAAAAATACAAAAATTTTAACATAGGGTTTTCTAACTTTTACAGCCTGCTATTGAAACCCGACTTAGTAAACTCGAAGATAACCAGATCCGAATCGGATCTGAGTTGAGTCAATTCCGTGACGACGTCACCTCAAGTGTACAGTTGCTGCAGACGTCGGTAACAGAAATCAAGATGGCGACCACAGCTCTGGAGAACGTCATCAGAGAGTCGTCGACCTTGTTACAGGCATCGCTTGAACAGATGCAGCAGCGACAGTTGGAGAACTCTGACCACTTAGGGAAACAAATCATGGAAGTGCGGAGGGACATTGCTATGACCAACAAACACTTACTGCCCAATATTAAGCATAACTAAATGCACAAATCTACTATGACAGGCAAAAACTCAAAAAAAAAAAAAAAAAGCATGCAAAGGCGAAACTAAATCATTCTGACTGAAACTAAAACGTCTTAAAATGCTAGATTTTTAATGATAGAAAATTTGTGAAAATGAATGACTGAATTAATTATTCCACAAATCAAAAATTTACATAACTGTAATCCGGTTTTTCCATGCGTGATCAGTCTCCTTCTTCAGTAGCCAACGAAGAGTCGACATGCTAATAGTACCTGCTGCACAGTGATTAAATGTCCGCCTGTACTCACCCCCCTCTCCTCTCCCCTTATGGTTGAATATCTTTTAAAGCTGCTATTCACCCCATCCCCCCCCCCTCCTTAGTGTTGAATAACTTTTAAAGCTGCTACTCACACCCCCCACCCCCCCCCCCCCCACCCTTAGTGTTGAATAGCTTTTATTTTAAAGCTGCTACTCACCCCCTCCCCCTTAGTGTTGAAAAACTTTCAAAGCTGCTACTCATCCCGCCCCCCCCCCCTCCCGCGTTGAATTACTCTACTATGAAAATCATCGATGGTGCTTTCTTCCCTAAACGAGGACTCAACTAAAAATCAGCGTGCGAGGTCTAGATCAAGAAGAATGGTTTCAAAGAAACACAATCTTACAAAACTCTTAGCATGCTAGAACATGAGCTGTTATCGGTTTTTTACTCTAGTATTCTTTGTTGTTTCGGTTCCTTAACGTCAGATGTGATGCCACAAGGAAGCAATCACGACAGCAATACAATAGTAGATGTACTGCATCCAAAAGGACCACACCATCTGTGTAGGTCACCGATGTATTATTGGAGTGTTTTTGTATTCTCTGGATCTGAACATAGTCCACCATGAACAGTATTGAAATAGACGATCGAATAAAGAAGAAGATGGTGTTCACAGTGTCATATCATGAGCAGTGTGAATACAGATGGTGTCATCTGACGAACAAAGTGAATATAGATAGTGTCGTATGACGAACAATGTTAATATAGACAGCTTTGTATCATGAACAGTACTGATATAGAGAGCGTCGCGCCATGAACAATGTAGATATAGATAGAGTCGTATGACGAACAGTGTTGATATAGACAGTGTCGTATTATGAAAGATATTGTTACTATTATTATTACTGCGTTTAAACGCCTTGAAAATTACAATTGTTCTGAGGCCCCCCCCCCCCCCCTGTTCCCCCAACCTCAATCTTCAAATTATTTTTCTTGTTAATTTTTCGTTATTTATTTTTTTAACAGTGTTTGTTCTTGTACCAAAAATATTTATTAGAAATAGTCAGTTACTTTTGCTGTTGATTATAACTGACATTTCCCTAACCATGAGAATTTCACAAATGATTTTAGCCAACATGTGGGGAACCTCAAGAAATATAAAGCATATAATTCTGAGGAAAATCAGGACGATAAGTAAATGAACGGAGAGATTGCTCAGGCATTAACTGCTCAGTATAGTGTCAGGAGGTGAGGAAAAGACGCTGGCGTTGGATAGGGCACACACTGAGAAAACAGGAGAACGGCATAACTAGAATGTCTTTGCATTGGAATCCACAGGGGCATAGGAATGAAGGAAGGCCAAAAAACACATGGAGAAGAGAGCTGGAGAATGAGGTTAGAAAGATTGGGAGGACATGGGGAGAGCTCCATGTAATGGCAAAGAATAGAACGACTTGGCGTGAGTTGGTTGAGGGCCTATGCTCCATTGGGGGATAAAAAGGCAGAAGAAGAAGAAGAAGAAGAAGAAGAATAGTGCCAAAGCCGGCGTGATACTGACCACATTAACCATCTTGTGCCGATTGGTAAATAATACAAAATAGGTCTAGCCCTTGATGCCTTATACGCTGGTTTTCGTTTCAAATCCCTGTTGAGTATAATTATTTTATTTTTGACTTTGGCTCCAAAGGTCTACAGGGGATACCAGGAATCTACTGGGAAGTAAAGGTGGTAGGCCTGATGTTAAATCCATCTCCCATTATGTGCAGACGACTCTTTCTTAATGTGCCCGTATTCCGCTTTGTGTCACTAAGTGTCATAGGTTAGCAGATGATTGGTATCCGAGCTTGAGCACACACATTTGCCACGACTCATAACACTCATGTTGTGATATTGAGGAGTCCCAAAATATAAGTAACTCTTTAAATCCATGTTCTTCTCTGTGATTCTCTGTCTTGGGGTTTCTACTTTCATGTACTACGCTGTTGTTGCTGGTATCGTTGGATTCTTTCGAGAAGAAATTAACAGTAAACATCCACAAGATCCCATCAGCAGACTCAACAGAAAGCAACATACAACAATTTTCCGTCTACGAACGGGAGGGACACTGCAGGCTCAACTACCACTGGCATAAAATAAAGATTGTACAGTCCCCACAGTGTACCTATCAAACAGGATCACAAACACCTGAGCACATTCTGCAGACCTCATTAAATTGCCAAACCAATTCAGTCTTTTTTTTTTTTCTCTCAATTAATTTAATTGTAGACGTTGTTTCAATATTTCTTTTCAATTTTCTTTATGACATAATCGCTTCTAGTTTTATTCGCGGCCTGTTAGTGTTGACTGCTCCGCAACACAAGCAGACGTTGCATCGTCAAGCTGATATCTTGGTATTTTGCAACTCTGCTCTGTAGCTATGAGGTCTGTAAATACGTTAAACAGTTTCATGATCCAGTAGTAGTAGGGTTCCCCCTCTTCTTCTTCTTTCTTTCTTTCTTTCTTTCTTTCTTTCTTTCTTTCTTTCTTTCTTTCTTTCTTTCTTTCTTTCTTTTCTTCTTTCTTTCTCTTTCTTTCTTTCTTTCTTTCTTTCTTTCTTTCTTTCTTTCTTTCTTTCTTTCTTCTTTCTTTCTTTCTTTCTTTCTTTCTTTCTTTCTTTCTTTCTTTCTTCTTTCTTTCTTTCTTTCTTTCTTTCTTTCTTTCTTTCTTTCTTTCTTTCTTTCTTTCTTTCTTTCTTTCTTTCTTTCTTTCTTTCTTTCTTTTCTTTCTTTCTTTCTTTTTTCTTTCTTTCTTTCTTTCTTTCTTTCTTTCTTTCTTTCTTTCTTTCTTTCTTTCTTTCTTTCTTTCTTTCTTTCTTTCTTTCTTTCTTTCTTTCTTTCTTTATTTCTTTCTTTTTTCTTTCATGCGACTATAAAAGGGCAGATCGCACGATGTGTTGTGGTATACAGTTAGGCTGCGATAGTTGTGCCTTTCTGCTAGGGACATTCGGTTTTAATTAGTAAGCCTTTACGACAAGCGTGTTAGGTGACAGGAGGTCTATTCATGTGTTTTCTAGAATACAACAGACAGAAAAACTAGTGCCTAATATTTGCGGCAAAAAGTGAAGGAAACAAAAGGAAAACATCGCGGTTTTCAGGCAGTGGTACGAGATTTGCATCGTGGAAGAAGAGGGGTCTCATTAAGTAATATTTTCAGTGACAGCGACGTTGAGGGATTGAGGAATGTTCAGTTACTTGCAGGGTACAGATCATTGCAGAACACAGTAATGATCAGATCTACACGATGACAGGAGTCAATCAGTCAGGGGACGTTTTAATAACTAATCTTGGCTGCAGTTGATTTCCGAAACACTATCTCTTGATGTTTTAGCAACGACGTTCGGCTGCAATGAATTTCTAAAACTGTCTCTATTTCTTTTCCTGGCTGTACTCTCTCAGACTGTTTGCTGTTCGCTCATCTCTTGGTTTTCTCTTTCTAAGTTTACATGCCTTTGCCCTCTTGCCTTTGACGTTTGCCCCTTCCGTATGGTTTGTGTAAGCATAGTAATTCTTTAATATTGCCTAAACATTTCATTTGTTTGTTGTTGTTGTATTGTTGTTATTGTTGTTGTTTTCCCCCATTTGTTTTTAAATATATCTTTGAGAAGAACTCATCTTTTGTATACTAGCTGGAACCTCAGTATTTGATAGTTTTTGTTTCCATGTCATACGACTTATTACTTTCTGCATGCACAGCTTCAAAGACTAAATTTAATTCTCTGGTTGCTTGATAGTCGGCTCTGTGGCTAAGTCGATGGCTTGCGTTGGTTTTGGCAGGGGTTTCACGAAAGCCAACAGTCCAGAAAGCAATGGCAAACTACTGGACGTCAATTTGCCTAGAAAAACCACACAACAGTCAGGGGCTGTTGGGGTTGGTTCTGCAACGTCCTGTAAAGGATACGCAACTAACCAGTTTGCTTGATATTTGTTCAGGTTTTTGTACCATACAGTAAAATGTCATTTTCACGTCACTGACAGGTACATGATATTAAACTCGTATTTTGTCGAGAAATCTGTACTCGGTGGGCGAAATCTTTTTTTTTTTTTTTTTTTTAACAACGAACATGTAATAACTGTAGTTAAATACTTTTTGCTTTCGTTGTTCTTTCTTTTCCCGCTCCATACAACGAAGTGGAATCTGGTGTTAGAGTTGAATATTTACAACAGAACATCTGGCAGAAAGGCGAGGAGAAGACCGAGAAAAAAATGGATAAATGATGTTGGTGAAACCTGCAAAAAGATAAACAAATTCTTCACCAAGCCACAAAAGCCAATTAATTCAAGATAATGCTCGCTCAGAGGATGTGATTATTTATACAGACGGTTCGGTGTCAAGAGGTCAAAGAAGCGAAAGACAAAAACAGAAAACCATGGCACTGGGCAACAACCTGGTATCAATAAGACGACAAAAGAAAAGGAGGTCGTTGAATATTTTAAGTTTCATACTTTCCATCACGCTTCGTAACTTTTGTCTGTTAAGTCTTTATCGGATCTACTTATGTTTTGAAGGTTCCCTAAAGTTTAGTATTTTAAATTGTACATATGAACCTGGTTCCCTATGCGTGTCTATAAGTGGCTGATAAAATTCACCCACATGAAATTATGTTATTTCCAGAAAGTAGGGTATTCCGATGTAACTATTCGATACGGTTGAACACAGTTTCAGGGATTTGTTTCTGTTTTACCCACATCCCTATAGTTGCTCTATGTGCCCCTAAAAGTCCATCTTTCAGGCTTCAATTCCGAGGTTAAACAAAAAAAGGGAGGGGAAGAGGTTCTGAAAATAATTTAAACGTACACAAAATTACTATGAGCCAGATGCTCTGCTATTTTGTTCTCCTCTTCATTTCTATTCGCTTTTATCTTCTCTTTTTTTTTTAGCTAGAAATACTAATTAAAATTCAAACGATTATCAAAGATACATTTTTAATGGTGGTTTTTATCAAGAACCAAATTATGCATAGAATGTTAACAGTTAATTTATTTATAACAGTTCTGCCAAACACGTTCATTAACATAGACGGGTTTATTACTAGCGACAAATATCACGGAGACAACGAATGGCAGCGAAATATTTTATGGCGCCGTCAGAATCGTTATTGTTGAAGCATTGTTTGGCCCCTAGAGACACGGCCCGTGTAGCAGGGAGCATACATTCCCGGCACACAACAGGTTTCCGTTTGCTTTTCGTTGTCGCTGGAAATCAGTTAAGCGCTAACGTTGTAAATTGTTGAACAGTTATTCTGCATATCTTATGGCATTGTGCGCTAAAGTTTTAGCTTAAATAGATAGCACAATAGACTGGTAATATCTTAGGTGCCTTCGGATTTTCTGTGTGGAACGGTGTTTGTGATGTGTCGGTAAATAAAAGAGCTGTTTTATCGAGACCTTTCGGCAAGAGAGCATCCGTCAGCACACCGGCACTTATTATTCTGGTTCGCCTGAAAATGAGCCGTTTAGTCTAAGGTAAATTTTAAAATATTAGGTATATTAGGCCTGCCATACAAATCTTTCAAATACTGTTGTTAAGTCACGCTGTCAGCGTCTACGACTTAGGCGTTGCAAACGCGCTTCGTAATGCCGGGGTGCCGGGTTCGAGCCCAGCTGTGGACGGTTTGTTTGTCGTTGGTTTCTACAGTGGTACTGAGAGCTGACCTTTCAAACGCAACGGCAAACTACTGAACGTAAACTTTACCTAGAAAAACCACAACAGCCAAAAAATAATGAGGCTGGTTCTGCAACGTCCTGTAGAGGAAACAGAACTAACTTTCTATTTAAGTCACGCTTCTATCGTGAACTTCTGGCGATTAAACGAACACTATGTATCGAGAGAGATCAATTTGTGTCAGTGGAATTTTTCTATTTTTTTTTTTTTTTTCTTTAATTTTGGTTGAAGCAGCTCTGCAGTAACGCACCTGACGAGATACAGAGAAATATTCCTGGCAATAAATTGTGCATTGTATTTTTGTGTCCACATTATTTGAAATATTGGTATTAATTGCCTTATAATTTTGCTTCTCTTGCTAAATCTTAGCTGTTAGAGAGTCATTTAAACAGTGCTTGCTAAATATATTTTGTTAAATAGAGTGGGGAAATCAGAGAAATGATCGGATATCCAGTGGTATCAATTGATATAATGGAAAAACGAAACGGATATATTTTGCACATTCTGTGGCCAAACTGGCAAAGAATCATAAAATGGGCACTGAAATGGGAAACATGCATTAAGAAAAAAAAAGCGTCCAAAAGAAACCATACAATAGATCTCAATCAGAATGATTAGAAAAACCAGTCAGGATCCCATATAGCATATTGAAAGCATTGAATGACACAGAACGGAATGTTAATACAGACAGCAAACCTAACATGATCTATAAACGATAAAATATATAATACTGATTTGCCATAAATTGTGGCTAAATATTGCTTTCCATAACAAGAGTTACCTGCCATAAATGTGGACTGAACTTCGCATGTAAAATATTTCTTGGCTGACAGTTTCGCTGAGAAGAAAATAGACAAACCTGATCATAATGCAGACCTAGAAGCAGACGTATACATTTAGACATTTAGACATTTAGACATTTAGACATTTAGACATTTAGACATTTAAACATTTAGACATTTAGACATTTAAACATTTAGACATTTAGACATTTAGACATTTAAACATTTAGACATTTAGACATTTAAACATTTAGACATTTAGACATTTTAACATTTAGACATTTAGACATTTAGGCATTTAGACATTTAGACATTTAGACAAAGCTATTAGAGCAATTGTAGGAACCACACCATGCCTGCAATACATAAAGAAGCAACAAATAGAGTGGTTTGGCCACTTGATGCGAATGCAAACCGACCAACTGCCTCTACGTGCATACAACGAACAGCACTACTGCCCTAGAGCAAGAGGCAGACCGAGAGTACGATGGATAGAGATCCTGAGGCAACACGGACTAACAACAACACGTGCAACACACCTGGCCCAGGATAGAAAACTGCGACTCTTTACTAAGCTGTGAGGCAATTGTGGACAAGACAAGACAAGACAAGACAAAGCCATCGGCAAACTGAACGTATTGAAGACAGGAATGCAAGGGAGACATCTAAAGGGAGACATCTAAAGGTGAGCAGTTAAATACAGCCATAAATATGGTCTACTGGCTAAACGCAGTTTCTGGGACCTCTCCACGGGTTATACCCGTCCACTTGATGGCACTTGGTGTCATTGGGTGTTTATCGCTTGTGTGATGTCCAAGTGGGATAAAATGTACTACTACTACTACTACTACTACTACTACTACTACTACTACTACTACAGAAAAACCAAATATTTCAGCGACAAATAAGTGAAAAATTGTATATATTTAGACAGTTAGACAGAACAGTAGACCAGGACCGCTAAACTGACTAAGCACGCCGGAGAAGGGTAAGTAGACAGACACAGTGATCTATATAGACCAACGGTTCTCAATCTGTGGGTCGCGACGCCTTTGAGGGGTTAAACGACCGTTTCACAGGGGTCGCCTGAGACTGTTGGAAATAAATATTCATTGAAGTTATGAAGTAGCAACAAAAATAATTGTATGCCTGGGTGTCACCACAACAGAAGGAATTGTATGCCTGGGTGTCACCACAACAGAAGGAATTGTATGCCTGGGTGTCACCACAACAGAAGGAATTGTATGCTAGGGTGTCACCACAACAGAAGGAATTGTATGCCTGGGTGTCACCACAACAGACGAATTGTATTTAAAGCGTCACGGTTTTAGGAAGATTGAGAGCTACAGGATACAGCCATGAAATTGCAACAACATCTAACATCCATGAATGAAGAATGTAAAACAAATAATATGAGAATCAACACTGAAAAGACAGAAGTAATGTCAATAGGAAAAAAGAAGACAGATCTAAACATAGCAATAGAATACAAAGGCATTAAACAGGCATCTGAGTTCAAATATCTGGGAACTACATTTACCGAAGATGGGAAATTGGATAAAGAAATTGACATTAGATGCAGTAAAGCAAACCAAGTATTGGGACAGCTAGCCCCCCTCTTACAGCATAAGACAATCCCAATCAGCACAAAGAGACATCTTATTCAAAGCATATTTATTCCAACTCTGTGCTACCAGTGCCAGACATGGTCACTAACAACAAACCATAAAAGAAAATTAGTAACCATGGAAATGAGATGTCTGAGAAGGGCTGTAGGAGTGACCATAAGAGATAAGATCAGAAATGAGATCATAAGAGAACAGGTTGGCACAGAACCAATTCTGGATTACATACAAAGACAGCAAGTGAAATGGTTTGCCCACTTAGAGAGAATGCCTTGTGACACCATACCATACAAAGCGTACATGGGAAGAGAAGAAGGACGTAGAGCACGGGGTAGACCAAGAACAAGATGGAAGGATAACATCAGAGAAACTCTACAACAGTACGATGTGCCTATGGTCGAGGCAGCCAGAAGAGCTAGAAACAGAACCTTATATCTCCCTCGACACCCACAGCGGTAAAAGAGGAAGTGAAGAAGAAGAAGAAGTGAGCTACATACTTTTTTTTTTTTTTTTAATTATCCCGAAGCCATGATTTGTTAACCCTTTGGCTCGGTACTATGGATATCGCAACCCTTCAGCCTTGATTCTATGATAGGTACCGTAAATCTGGGAGAAATGTGGCTTTTCTGCCTACCCTTGAACCCGGACCGCAAGGAGTTCGTCACCCGGTCACTGCGCAGTCCGGTTTAACCAACTACGCTAGAGAGTCAGGCAGAGCTACTGATAAAGACAGTTAGAGAATGCCTAAGACAAAGACAAATATACTCCTAAACGTAAATTATATTTTCAACAAAAGTATAAATTTACAGGCAAAGTTTCAGATGTATTCAATGCTAGTGTGAAGATCACTTCTACATACCGCCTGTACTGAAAAGTCATGGGGAACAGAGCAACGAAACTAAACGAAGACGATTTGAAGGAGCTTGAGAAATCTACTTACTGTAAGTGGACCCTTTTCCCCTTTTAGATTACACTGTGTGTGTGTGTGTGTGTGTGTGTGTGTGTGTGTGTGTGTGTGTGTGTGAGCGTGTATGTTGTGATAAAATTCGGTGTCGTCTCCACAATGAGGGTTGGCTACAGTGTACTACTGTTGTCTTTGGGAAATTACATGGCGAGACAACAAACATTCTCTTGTGCTTGGCGACTACCGTATTGTCCTAGTGCCCCCACTCACAAGCTGTACTTTGACAACACAACGGTGGATTCTGTGCCCCAGCAATGTACAGGTTAAATTCTAAATTCGCCATTTCCAATAGAACAGAAAACATTCTGGAAATATATTGCATTTGGAGAATATTTGTCTTACATAATAAGACAATATATATGTGTGTGTGTATGTGTGTGTGTGTTTCTCTCTGTCTGTCTGTCTCTGTCTGTCTTTCTGTGTATAGATACTGATTATAAATCCTATTACCCCAAATTATGGTTTAAATAATATATATACCGCATTTATAAGGTAACACAAAGGACTCTTTTCACGCCTTCAGACATAATAGGCATATAGGGCAAGACCTATATTTTATAAATAATTGTACTCGGTTAATGCTGCGGTCAGCATCAGGCTGGTCGCTATTACTTCACAATTCAAAGCTGGGTTGACCTGCGAGCCAAGGTCATTTTGGAAACGTACTGTCAGGACTCGAACCCACCACATTCAGATCCGCAGGCAAACTTTTGGCCGCTACATCACGGCGGCTCCCCATACTGCATTTATACTGCATCATGAGTATTTTGTATAGCGTTGTAGATAATGGCTAGATGTTCCAGTAATAGTAATTTATGTAACTTGTAACGATGCTTGTGAAATAAAAGAGTAATATTTTTGTTGTTGTTGTTGTAACGGTAGCAGGGAAATTTAACAACCCGTGTGGGTTCCGCGGCCGCATTGTGGGAAAAACAAGAGTAGATCTACTGCCTCTAAAACAAGCATGTCGTATGATTCGACTAATTACGGCATTTCTTCGAAATCGGAGTGCATCTGCCTGGGAGGAAAGGAATCAAAAGTCTGCAAACTAATAAATCAGATCGGTAAAACTGACGTGCATGCAACACTCGATGTCTGGAACAAGACTAAAGTCCAGAGGTGGACGAACAACCAGAACTTTCCACAGGTGTTTTTAGCCGGTAGATGCGAAGAAGAAGGAGAAAAAAAATATTGTATATAACTTGTAGAGGTACTACTGATTGTACCTTTCGCTTCATTGTCATCGTCACTATCATCATAATCATCTCTGTGGTCATGATCGTTGGCACGACAATCATCACTGCTTATCTCTCACTGACAGTTGACAGGAACGAGCTGCAGAAATGGTTCAAGGACTTCAAGCGAGACTGCCCAGATGGTAAACTGAAAATGGACGTGAGTAGCACTGCAAAAGTATCACTCGTCAGTGAACGTTTTGTGTATTCCTAATGTCCCCACTAATTCACTCAGGGAGTTGCCCTGGTGTAGCGGCTAGGCTCTCACCTGCGGAATTAAAGGTCGCGGGTTCGGGTACTGACGGTGCTAAAACTGTTTTCAAAAACGACCTTGGCACCCAGATTAACCCAGCTTTAAATGGGTGCAAGGTAAATTCATCGGAAGTAAAGACGGCAAGTGTGTCGTTGACCACATCACCCATCCGAGTGCCGACTGGGCTACAAAATATATGTCTAACCCTATACGGCCAATAGGCTAAAGGCATGGAAAAGGGTCCTTGACTTAAGTAATTCAATCGGAGCTAAGCTCGGGGTGTGGGGGTGGTGCGCTCAAGGGGCTTTAGCCTAGTCAAATGCGCAATAATAATAATAATTGATTTATGTAAAGCAGTAGCTGGTCTAATTGCGTGATTATCGTATAATTTATTAAAACATCAAAATGATTGTCATCAATTGCCTAGCCGACCGGGTGATCGATCTCGCCTCGGCATGTCTCGCCAACCTCATTAGAACGCATCTGTTTTTTGCTTTGACAAAATTAACACCCGAGAAATAAGATGCCTGAAAAAAAAATATCCTTCAAGTGAACCGTCCAACACAATGTTATAAATGATATTATCTGACAGACTGTAGGAATAACACAATGAAGATAATTCATTGAGTAACATGATCCAATGATTTGGCGATTTAGTCAGAAAGCAGCTAGAACAACTACCGACGCAGGCGCTTCACATGAAAAGATTTGAAGTGAAAGCAAGAGGTCGCCCCAGGAGACATGGATTGATGACATTAAAGAGCTTCTACATAGACAGGGAATGACAATAGTTATTGCTTCTCATCAAGTAATGGATCATAAACTGTCCCTTTCCACAACGCTTAACAGAATGAGTGGAAATTGATGGCGATGATGATGATAGGTTATATGTTGAAACTTGCCCATACTTCTACAAAAGAATCAGATGATTCTTTTTCTTGTTCTCTGTATGCCTCTGTCTGTCTCTCTGTCTCTCTGTCTCTCTCTCTCTCTCTCTCTCTCTCTCTCTCTCTCTCTCTCTCTTTCTATCTATCTTTCTAACTTTCCTCCTCTGTCTTTCTCATTCTCTCCTCTGTCTTTCTCATTCCCACCTTTGAAGATATATCATTGCAATGCCCCTGAAGAGTCTTCTTTGCAAACTTGTTTGAACTCATTGTGTCGGCTGATGACACATAGCAAAAACATAACCAAACCCCATGTTTTGTTACTCTCATTCTATACACCCCTTTGTGCCAGCACGAGTCGTTACCCTCTCTATAAACAGCCTCTAATATCATAGCTGTCCATTAGGTTATTATTTTTTGACAAAGTAACGACAACTGCGACTCATCAATAATTCATCATGTATTTGTTTCCAGCAGTTACCTCCCATTAGTACACACGGGAGGTAACTATATAACGAAATTCTGTCATGTACGTGTTTTGGAAGTGCTAAAATATGTAGTTCAACCTGAAATGCGTGAAGGAATCCATCATGATATTCTTCAGTCTGTTATGTTTAACCTATTCTAACAATCTGTTTGAAGAACATAACGCGATCCATACCTCACAATAGGATTTGTCTGTCATTGTTTCAAGTCAAAGGCCATCTTTAATGGGAAAATAATACAATATTCATCACAACAAAAACAATCTGCACTGGCCCTATTGTAGCCAAGTAGACGATCAGATTACTATTTGAATATTCTGGGATCAGGTTGTGTCATCGAACTTAAAAATGGCACTGATGGAGCAAACGATAGCACACATATGAATGTTGACAACATTAATACACTCTCTTTGATTATGACAGCTTTATAATTGTTTCGTTGTGTTCATAGAATACGTTCCTGTCTGTTCAATGTCATCAATATAAAATGTTACAGTCGATAGGAATTTATATTTTTATCTTCCACCTTACATGTAAGCATGCCATATCAAATCTCTCTCTTTCTCTTTCTTTCTCTCTCTATCTCTCTCTCTCTCTCTCTCTCTCTCTCTCTCTCTCTCTCTCTCTCTCTCACTCTCTCTCTCTTTCTAAGCCCCTTAACAAATTGTTATAGATTGTTGGTTTACAAGAGGCCTAAGCCTTGTTTAAGTGTCTATTAATTACAATAATGTGCTAAATGGCAAATAAATATAATAATATAACAGAAATTATACTATGTATAGGAACAAAAATGTATAGACATAACTTCTAAACATGGTGGGTGGGGAAGAAGTTTAGTCGCCTTATACATTTTGAGGACCATCTTTCTGTGAGTGAGTGTGTGTGTGTGTGTGTGTGTGTGTGTGTGTGTGTGTGTGTGTGCGTGTACGTGTGTGTATGTTTGTGTGGTTGGGAGAGGGGGCCTAAAGTGCCTACCTAAGACTGCAGATTTTAGATCTCCTGTTAATAACCCCACATAACCCTATATGATGTGACACGGGTTTTGTTCTTGAACTAACTCATTGTTTAGGATTCACAACCATTTAATATTAAAAGAACAAAACAGCAACACACACACACACACACACACACACACACACACATCCACACCCACCCACACGCACCCACACACACACCCACACCCACACACACACACCCACACACACCCACACACACACACAAAACACACACACACACACTCACACACACAAAAACACAATACCCTGAAGATACCCCTATATGCTGAAGAATTTAAATTCATCAATCTATCACTATTAGAGCTGACAGTACGACTGTATTGTATAAATGCAGAATAGTAGTTTTCAACATGCCCCCCCCCCCCCACCCCCCTTCCTTTTTTTTTCGCTCCTCTAGGGAGCGCAAGGAAGTTTCAAGGTGGGCGTTAATCAAATTTCAAACTGAGTCCACGTTTACTTATAATAATTGATTATGCTAATAGTTTCGTCACGTTTAATCAAAAAGTTGCCTCCAGTTTAATCCAAAAGTTTCCTCAAGTTTAATTAAAACTCAAAGTTTAACAGTCATACAAACAAAACGGTGCTGCCAGCTCGGTGCGGGGAGTGATTTCCGTTGTGCCTCGTCCAAGATCAGACAACACAACAAAAGCAGTTTTAATCAAGATAAAGCAATGTCAACCCTCACACTGATGTTTGAATATAAATTATCAGTGGTTGGTGACTGGTTTGTTTTATTTGACAGTTTTATTAATGTTAATGTGTTTCTCCTCATCATCGTCATCATGTACCCTGCTAACTGGCGTAGGCGCTCATGCGTCTCCACAGATCACGATCCCTGGTTTTGTGGAACAGCTCTCTTGATGATATCCCTCCATGCCATAGTTTCAGCCTATCCAGCATCATCTTTCTGGGTCTGCCTCTATCCATTTTCCCACTGATCTTCTCAGTTGTCACAATGTTTATTTTCCCGTTCTTTTTAGTCATATTTGTTTGAATTTTTTTTTTTTTTTTTGCGGTGGGTGAGGGTCGGGGTATTGCTTTACATTTCAGAGTACGTGGGGACCACCTGAAAAATGTCGAAAGCCTAAAATTCAGCAGAATAATCAATAATGTACAGGGAGTCTTCATCTATCACAGTGTCGTTATTCTGTCAGTTTCCGCTGACAAACAAGGAACCCCACAGTTTCAGCGCGATGGTGCTCTTATGTGAGTTCTCACATCAGCGAGCCGGGACCAGAGAACGGCGAACATCGCTCATTACTATTTATTGCCATTTTTGTGATGTCTAACAGTATAATGGTCGGCGTCAGTGGCTTAGGCGTTGCCTAACAGGCTTTGTAATGCCGCGGTGCCGGGTTCGATCCCAGCTGCGTCTTGTGGTGGTTTCGACAGTGGTATCGAGAAGCCGACTGTAGAGAGAGCAATGGCAAACTACTGGAGGGAAATTTGCCTTGAAAAATCACAACAGCCAAAAAATGCTGGAGTTGGTTCTGCAACATCCTTTAAAGGATACGCAACTAACTTTAATATATCAGTCAGTTTTAGATAGTAATATTAGGGAGTTAGAACAATATGAAGACAGACGTCAATGTACCATCTAAAAAAAAGAAGATAATGCCTTTAAAAACCTCCTTGCATCCCTAACTCCAAGGGGACAGCACCCCCCCCCCCCCTTGCTCCAGTTGTATAACATGCGATGGAAGATGCATCACATAGTTGGAAACACACACACACACACACACACACACACACACACACATACATACATACACAAATAGAATACGGCTGTCTAAACATGCATTTTATTAAATGAAAAACATATGATGCAATAATTTCCTGCCATCTGAGGATAGAAAAAGAATTATCGCATATTACATAGAGCCAATTGTAACATATGGATGTGAATCCTAGACAAAAAATAAACAAACCAAGACAATTTCTTTGGGCATCACAGATGTGTTTCAGAAGATTCTATTAAATTCTCTGGACAACCAAAAAAGAGCAGCCCAGATGTTTTAAAAGAGGTGAGGGCCCGATGACATTTATCACAAACATCAGACAGAGACGGTCATCGTGTTTTTTTTTTTTTTTTTTTTTTTTTTGGGGGGGGGGGGGGGGGGGGGGGGGGGGGGGGGGGGGGGGGGGGGGGGGGGGGGGGGGGGGGGGGGGGGGGGGGGGGGGGGGGGGGGGGGGGGGGGGGGGGGGGGGGGGGGGGGGGGGGGGGGGGGGGGGGGGGGGGGGGGGGGGGGGGGGGGGGGGGGGGTCATGTTATTACAAAAAGAAAACTGGAAAATATTGTGACCACTGGAAATATCTGTAGAAAGAGCGACACAGAAAGACAACCCAAGACGATTCTTGACAGCCATTTGTTACGGCATAGAGGAGTGTCAGCACATGAACTGACACATGCTGTTAAAAATCGCATGTTGGGGAGAGACATGATCGCCTACGCTGGTCGGCATTCAACACGGAAATTAAAGACGGCTTGTGTGGCATCGATTACATAAAACCTAGTGATCTTTACAAACATCGATCACATAAAACCTAGTGATCTATACAAACATCGATCACACAAAACCTAGTGATCTGTACAAACATCGATCACATAAAACCTAGTGATCTATGCAAACTTCGATCTCACATAAAACCTAGTGATCTATACAAACATTGATCACATAAAACCTAGTGATCTATACAAACATCAATCACATAAAACCTAGTGATCTATACAAACATCGATCACACAATACCTAGTGATCTATACAAACATCGATCACACAAAACCTAGTGATCTATACAAACATCGATCACATAAAACCTAGTGATCTATACAAACATCGATCTCATAAAACCTAGTGATCTATACAAACATCGATCACACATAAAACCTTGTGATCTATACAAACATCGAGCACATAAAATACCTAGAGATCTATACAAACATCGATCACACAAAATACCCAGTGATCTATACAAACATCGATCACATAAAACCTAGTGATCTATACAAACATCGATCACACATAAAACCTAGTGATCTATACAAACATCGATCATACATGAAACCTAGTGGTCTATACAAACATCGATCACACATAAAACCTAGTGATCTATACAAACATCGATCACACAAAACACCTAGTGATCTATACAAACATCGATCACATAAAACCTAGTGATCTATACAAACATCGATCACACAAAATACCTAGTGATCTATACAAACATTGATCACATAAAACCTAGTGATCTATACAAATATAGATCACACAAAATACCTAGTGATCTATACAAATAGTTAAAACAAAAGTAAAATCACATTTTCACGCCTTCGGGCGCATCGGGCATTTGGGAAAAGCATACCACATTTTTACAGACAACTCGGCACTGAGTGGGTAATGTGGTTAGTATTACGCTGGCCGTCTTTACTTCCCTAAAACATCCACACTGGTACCCATCTCGGGCTGGGTCGACCTGCGACGCCCCATGAATTTTCAAAAAGGTTAGTTGCGTATCCTTTACATGACGTTGCAGAACCAACCCTAGCCGGTCCTGGCTGTTGTGTGGTTTCTCTAGGCAAATTTACGTCCAGTAGTTTGCCATTGCTTTTCTGGAGGTCGGCCCCTTGATACCACTGTCGAAACCAACGCAAGGCGCATGGCCCGCAGCTGGGATCGAACCCGGCACCCCGGCATTACAAAGCGTTCGCATCGACTTAGCCACAGGGCCGACTGCGACGCCCCATACCAAGATAATTACCTACGCTGCCAGAAGGGGCTTTTGATTGCGGGTAAGTTGGAATTACGAGTTGGATTCGCAACACCTAAGCCACGGACGCCGCTGTATATAGAAATACTAATAAGTAAATGTGAAGGTCCCTTTCAGACCTATAGCCCACTCATTGTACAGTGCTAGAGCTATATTTTTTATATATTAGTCACTGGTTTTGAGGTGAACATCAGCCTAGCCGCATTTACTTCACTAGAAATTACTTGTTTTCTTTTTAAGCTGGTTCGAATCCCGACACCAAGTGGTTTTTTTTTTTTTTTTTTTTTTTTTTTTTTTTTAAAGAAACTCGCTGGATCTGGATTTGAACTCTTGACTATACAAATGTAAGCATCAGGTCCAGTGCGCTACAAGATAGAAAAGGGCCCATTACCGACGAAACGAATTCAAGAGTCTCGCATCTACACAGTAACTCAGTGATCCATCCTGTACAATAATAAATCCAACACTGCATTCCATAATATTCCATTCGGTCCTTCAATGAGCCTGCCTGCCAGATGCCTATGCTATAGCCACGACTCAGACTTGAGTTAGAGGAAGAACGGAGCACCTATGGGTTGCTACCCGTGTGCCTTGACGTTCATCCGTTGTTCAAACTTCAAACTTCATATCCATGACTACATAGGTCAGACTTTGGTGTTATCTCATTTGCAGGAGTTCCAGGGAATCTATCAGAGATTCTTCCCTCATGGAAACCCTGACAAGTTTGCCACTTATATCTTCAATGCCTTTGATTCCAACAAGGTAAACATGTTTAAATTATTTCTGACCCAATTTACCCGTTTCGTTTGTTTTGTTAGGATTAGAATAGTTGTACCTGTTTCATTTTTAAGTGGACAAACAAGTGATATGTTTTAGTTTATTATATAATGTGAGGAGTCCAGTGATTGTTATTTGTTCACTTTGTTCTAGATGGAAATGTGCATCATCACCATCTTTCTGGTGGTTGAGCTGGAAATATGAATAACCTTTCTGGTGGTTGAGCTGGAAATATGAATAACCTTTCTGGTGGTTGAGCTGGAAATATGAATAACCTTTCTGGTGGTTGAGCTGGAAATATGAATAACCTTTCTGGTGGTTGAGCTGGAAATATGAATAACCTTTCTGGTGGTTGAGCTGGAAATATGAATAACCTTTCTGGTGGTTGAGCTGGAAATATGAATAACCTTTCTGGTGGTTGAACTGGAAATATTAATAACCTTTCTGGTGGTCCAGACAGAAATGTGCATTATGTTTCTGTCGATCGAGTTGGAAATATGAAACATCCTCATAATCCTATTTCGTTAAATATCATTTAGGACACATATAGAAAAAAGTGGAATCGAAGTTTCCAACCCATAACAAGGTTTGAGATATTGCCAACTAGGTAGAAGTTAACAAGCAGCAGTCTTCAGAATCTTTATAAGGCATCATAGGCAGAAGAGCGACACACTGAATATGCCAAAGAGTATGCACAAATTTAACTGCAATGTGTCAGCTCAGTATTGATCTAGGTGTGTCGGAAGTACACTTCTCTAGCCTTCCAGGCCCTCAAGGTTTTTTATGCAGATATCAACCGCCTTCATTCATCTCTCTGGTTGGTCTTCTCTTTCCAGCTGGTGACACCATGTGTTCGTAGATCTGCCTGGGTGTTGTCTCTCCATCGTCTTCTTGGTCTGCCTCGTGGTCTACGACCATTAAACTCCACTGTGTACACAGTTTTTAACCTCTCTTCCGTCAGACATTCTCTCATTATGCACCAGCCACTTCAGTCCATTAACCCTCCTGATCCTAGTCATCAATGGTGGCTTAAACAGATTATGAATTTCGTTGTTGCTTCTCACTCTCCATTGCCCGCTGTTTGCATCGTTGATAGGTCTAAAAAGATAGGCCGTAAGACTGTTTTGAACAATTTATAACAAGTTTCAGAGCAATGTAAAACGACTGGTCTTATCTGTGTTTTATAATTTTCGATCTTGATGTTGGGAGTCAGAGACTTTAATTTCAGAAGATGTTGAAGGGCACAGTAATTGTTTTAATTTCCAGATTGTATTCTAGACTGTTTTTCTCTAAGGATGCTAGAGCAGTTAAAGTTTGCACCCAAGTTATTACAAGTTTCAGTTCGATTGATTTTTAATTATCAGATTGTAGGTTCTTATCAATGTCTTGTTATTACAATTTATTCTGTCTTATCTTGATGGATAACTAGTCCTATTTTTTTTAGCTGCTTCTATAAAGGGAGTCAGTGTTTTAACTGTCTTTAGCTCATTGCTTCAACGATTTCAGTGGCATCTGCATAGCCATGTAGTGTCCAAATTACACGTCAGCGAAAATTAGTTTGGCCTTGATTCTCTAGCTCTTTATGCAAGGACCCATTCAAAGATGATATCAGTAGCTTAAGTTTGACTGTTATTGTCTTTCAATGTAATTAATTAGGTTGTCACCTGAAAGTGAACAATTTCATAAAAGTATTTGTTTCATCATAAAATATTTGTTATTTTAATGAGAGCCATCGGTATGTGGAGACTGGCTACTTGAGGGCCCCACCCTCACCTGACATGTCTTGTTTTTTCTACCTTCTCCATCTTCGCATTCACCGGCTGTAAACTCTGGTGGAAAGATTTGGCTGTCCGTCCACTTCTTGACTTAAGTTTTGCTTCAGAGCTTGTGTTTTGTGTTTACATCCGTTTTACAAACCTGTGGTGGTTGAGGGGACGGGTGTGGGGGGGGGGTGACTAGACCTACTCGCTCCAACAAACATGTCGTAAGACTCGGTTAATTAGGGGTGTTTTCTTCTAAGTTGGAGCGCATCTGCTGAGAGGCGAAGAACCAACAATCTGTATACAAATAAGTCAGATCTGTAACACTACTGTGTAGGCAAAACTCAGATTCTGAAAGGAGTGGATGTAATATTTGTTCTAGAAGCGAGTTAACAACCAGAATGCTCAGCCAGGGTTTACAGCCTGTGAACACAAAGAAGAAGAAGAACTGTTATTTGTACTGTTTTAAAACCTAGTTAAGTATTTTCAGTTGTAATGTTATTTCAGTTTTAACACATGCAAGTGAAAGCTAGAGAACGACTAAAAATGCGACGAAAAGTAAATGTATTCGGTAACATGTGCCTGAGAAAATGAACCTCAAATGCATGAATTCAAGAGGAGTGAAGAAATAACAGAAATATCTGGGCAACCACTGGTATCAACATTTATAAGACAGAGAAAATGGTGTTCCATTGGCAACATTCTGAGAAATGACGAACAGAGAATCACTAAATAGGCACTGAAATAAGAAAAATAGGAAATGAGGAAAAGAGGTCGTACAAGACATATCCTAAGGACAACGTTGACGAGAGAAGACAAAAGTGCTGGACCTGACTCCATCCATGATATTTAAGTGATTGTACAAGATAGAACAGAATGGACAAATAGCCTGCTAACCATACGACAGATAATTCTATGGCAGGACAATAGATGAATACATTTCGTCTATTGCCATATTTCTTCTTCTTAAAGTTCATGCCGTGTGGCGTTGGTAGTCATGTCTATCTACAACCTTCTGTTCCGTGTTCTTTCAGTCAACTCTAACACAGATGATCCTCTATGCCATGATGTCAAACTGCCCAGCATCTGTTCTCTCGGTCTTCCTCTGCCTCTCCTCCCCTCCAACTTTCTACTGTCACGGTGTACTCCAGTTTTCTCCTTTTTATCACATGACCAACAAATGTCGATTGTGTCTTTCTGATGTGGGCAATCAGTTTTCTTCGTGAGTCAGTTTCTTTACTTTTTTTGCATCAGTCCGAGGTATTCTCATCAATCGTGCATAGGACTACATCTCTGCACCTTGTTTACGTTGACGAAATTCTCGTCTTTGTTTCTTTTCAGGATGGCGTTATTTCATTCCGAGAATTTATTCGTGCACTGTCAGTCACTTCCAGGGGAACTTTAGATGAGAAACTGGCATGTACGTTTACTGATAAAACATTTTTAGAATTATTATTATTACTAAAGCTTTTATTATTATAATTATTGCTATTACTATTATTATTATTATACTGAACTTAAAATTTGACGATAAAAATAACAAACAGAGATTAGTCCTGCGACTCCTCTAAAGGATACGTAATTGTTATTTTATTATGATTATTAATATTATTAAATGTAACACGTTCACTAAAAGCCGTCGTCAGATATCGTCTGCCCCCGACCCCCCTCCCCGACGGGAGGGGGGGGGGGCACCTACCTGTAAATGTGATCATTAGGAGGTTTCAGGAATCTAACCCTGGATGGAAAACTACAAGACAAATCTCAGATACCCTGTTCAAACTCCACAGGTTATAACTAGGGCAGTCCTGTGCTGGTGTTGAGTTTTGTGTGTGCTACAAAATACCGACGCTATTATACCAAGTATACACGTATAAGGTCTATAGGGTGTCGGTAATGGTACATAGAGAGACTGAGAGGGATATATATATATATATATATATATATATATATATATATATATATATATATATATATATATATATATATAGAGAGAGAGAGAGAGAGAGAGAGAGAGAGAGAGAGAGAGAGAGAGAGAGAGAGAGAGAGAGAGCACGACTGTAAAAATCGGCGACTGAGAGACCAATTTGATCGCCGAAGACGATTTCGTCGCCGGTCAGGACAGTATTTGGGTCTGTTTCCTTTAATCGCTTCAACACTGCAGGAAGCACCTACCTATCTACGAATGTAAATATCAATGGAGTAGAAATCAACAGCGGTCTGAGTGCTAGGTGAATTTGTTCCGGTTTTAGGAGAGGGAAAAAATCAACAACTTTCAGCATGCTGTGATTAGCTTTGGTTATAAATGCGATCACCTTCGTTTGTGGCGAATATATTGGCTAAGATTTGTTATTGTGTGCTAATTTTAATGGATTGAATTTTTTATTTTTTTTTATTTGGGGGGAGGGATAGGGAAGGGGGTATTACAAATAGCTTTCTACCTCTATTGTTGTGTCGTGTTGTCTTTCCGCTGACACATCTTCCACTTTTAGGGGCCTTCAGCTTGTATGATCGGGACAATGACGGACAGATCTCAAGGACCGAGATGGAGGAGATCGTGGAGGCCATATACAGCATGGTGGGAAATCTGATGGACCTGCCCAAGGACGAGAACACGCCGCAGAAGAGGGTAGCCATGGTCTTTCAGCAGATGGACCTGGTCAGTGGCTTATAGATACATATATATACACACTCACAT